TAATTGATAAAATTGAAAGATTTAAGACTAAATTGGCAAAAGTGCATTAGATTTAAGACTTTTTGAATAATTTTCCCCTCGATATAAAAAGACTTTTTTCACCAAAAACAGAAAATTACAAAAGACAAAAAATAATCATGGCGAGGTCACGTGATCCCACCCCTCCCCCCTCATTTCCTTCCCCTGAATCATGTGCTCACCCGTTCCCATCCCGCTCTCCATCAGCCTCAGCCGTACGATCGCGTCCCCCTCCAATCAGACGGCGATCACCACCCTACGGTCAACGCCCAACGACCCCGAACTCGAGAAACCCCGCAGCACACGATCGCCACCCCAGAACTCCGTCCACCATTCTCAGGCTCTTCACGATTCTCTCTCTCTCTCTCTCCTTCCAACTCGCACCAGTTTCATCACTCCCACTCCCCGTTCGATCGCCGGCGGAAAGGTCCGAACTTGATCGTGTATTCCTCCGGCGAAGCCTCTCGCCGGAAGCGACGGCGGGCTTCCTCCGCCGCTTTTCGTTCCGCGAAAACCCTAGCGCGAGAGGGCTCTCGCTCCGCCGTCTCCGTCGCCGGTGTCCGCCCCCGTTGCGACTTCGGCGCAGGAATGCCGGATGGTTCAATCACGGCGGCGCGCGTCAATCGACACTCCGCTCGTGGTCTCTCATGCTCGCGAGGGTCAGTTCTCTCTCTCTCTCTTTCTCATCGCCTCGTGCGAATACTGCGTAGGCACCCGGTCGCTGTCAAATGCTCTTGAGTCGCGTCTGGTTTCCTGCTCGTTCAATCGCGTGATATGAAGCGTTCGAGTTAAGCGCGAGGCGGTGGTTGTCTGGGGTGTTTTCTTTCGGTTGTATATGGAAAACGAGGTGATTGAGTTCGACATAGGGTTAGGAGGTGGGGTTGGCAGTAGTGGGAGGGAAGTGGACGATGACGGTGTGGACATAGAGCATCCGGTCGACGATGAGGACATGATTGATAGCCCGCAGAATATCAGCGGCGGAGGTGGTTTTGGCAGTGGAAGTGGCGAGATTTATCTCCCCGAGGGGGATCTGCTGGATCTCGAGCCTTATGAGGGGATGGAATTCGAGTCGGAGGAGGCTGCCAAGGCCTTTTACAACTCGTATGCTCGCCGTGTCGGGTTTAGTACCCGTGTGAGCTCCTCTCGCCGGTCCCGGCGGGATGGAGCCATTATTCAGAGGCAATTTGTTTGTGCCAAGGAGGGGTTTAGGAACCTGAACGAGAAGCGGACGAAGGACAGGGAGATCAAGCGCCCAAGAACTATCACAAGAGTCGGATGCAAGGCCTCTCTGTCAGTGAAGATGCAGGATTCTGGTAAATGGGTCGTCTCAGGGTTTGTCAGAGAGCATAATCATGAGCTGGTTCCCCCTGATCAGGTGCATTGCCTCCGCTCTCACAGGCAAATATCTGGCCCAGCTAAGACCTTGATCGATACCTTGCAGGCGGCTGGTTTGGGTCCTCGAAGGATCATGTCAGCGTTGATAAAAGAGTATGGTGGGATTAGTAAGGTGGGGTTTACAGAGGTTGACTGTAGGAACTACATGAGGAACAATCGTCAGAGGAGCTTAGAAGGAGATATTCAGCTACTTCTGGATTATTTGAAGCAAATGGATGCTGAGAATGCCAATTTCTTCTATGCAGTGCAGAATGATGAAGACCAGTCTGTGTGCAATGTCTTCTGGGCTGACTCAAGGTCGAGAATGAATTACACTTACTTCGGTGATACCGTCACGTTTGACACGACTTACAGGTCCAATAGATACCGTTTGCCATTTGCACCCTTTACTGGGGTGAATCATCATGGACAACCCATACTATTTGGCTGTGCTTTTATGATTAATGAATCTGAATCATCATTTGTCTGGCTGTTTAAGACATGGCTTATGGCAATGTCTGGACACCCTCCGGTGTCAATCACAACCGATCATGATGCAGTAATAGGCTCAGCAATTGCACAGGTTTTTCCTGAAACTCGTCATCGCTTCTGTAAATGGCACATCTTCAAGAAGTGTCAGGAGAAGCTGTCACAAGTATTTTTGAAGCATCCAACTTTTGAAGCGGACTTCCACAAGTATGTAAATTTGATGGAATCAGTTGATGAATTTGAATCTTGCTGGCTGTCACTCATTGATAGATATGACCTTAGGGATCATGAATGGCTTCAGACAATATATTCTGCCCGTAGGCACTGGGTCCCTGTATATCTCAGAGACACGTTCTTCGCAGAGATGTCTATAACTCAGCGTAGTGATAGCATGAACTCATATTTTGATGGGTATATAAATGCTTCGACTACTTTGAATCAGTTTTTTAAATTGTATGAGAAAGCGCTGGAGAGTCGGAATGAGAAAGAAGTAAAAGCAGACTATGATACGATGAACACTTCCCCAGTTCTCAAAACCCCATCTCCGATGGAGAAACAAGCATCTGAGTTTTACACAAGGAAGCTATTTATAAGATTTCAAGAGGAATTGGTTGGGACACTTACTTTTATGGCATCCAAAATTGATGATGACAGTGAGATCATTACCTACCAAGTTGCCAAATATGGGGAGGACCATAAATCTTACTATGTTAAGTTCAATGTTCTGGAGATGAGAGCAACTTGTAGCTGCCAGATGTTTGAATTCTCAGGTCTTCTTTGCCGACATGTATTAGCTGTTTTCAGAGTGACCAACGTGCTTACCCTCCCACCTCATTTTATTGTAAAACGATGGACAAGAAATGCGAGGAGCAGTGTTACTTTAGAAGAACATGCTAGTAGCTTATATACAAATTATCTAGAGTCGCATACTGTTCGGTACAACACCTTGCGACATGAGGCTTTCAAATTTGTCGATGAAGGGGCAAAGTCTCTAGTTGTCTATGATGTGGCAATGAGTGCTCTGCAAGATGCTGCAAAGAAAGTTGCTCTTGCTTCAAAAAATGAGGGAAGGGCTGTCAACGTCAATGGACGCAGTAAGGATGATTTAATGCGGCATAGGTCTTCATATAATCTTTCAACTGGCCGTAGTCATATGACAGCCAGCCAAAGCCTATCCGAGGTAAGAATCTTTTTTCTCTGATTCAGCCATTGCTTTGTCGCTCTAATTGGAAATTACACTTGCCAACGCCTGCCTCTTTTTTTCATGTAAAGACCGTCCTAGACAATTTTGTTGTGTCCTCCCCTTTTATTATTGACAGTGTACTTACTAAATGTTGCCACTTTTCCTGTATCCTTAGTATGGTTGCATGAGAAATGATGGTTAGATCTTGGGACTGTTCAGAGTTTACATACCTTACTCCACTATCCACTGGAAAAACAAACTGCAACCCTACAGTCTAAGATTATTAGAGAGTGAAGATTTTCAAAATTCATCTGATGCGGACCTTTGGTTGTTTATTGAAGCAACAATTTTTCTAAGGATGTCAGTAATTTTTTCACTGCTATAGTTTGTTGGTGTCTCTGCTTTCTCTCAAAGATTAGGTCCCAAGTCTTTTATATGTTGTATTGACACTTGTCAGATCTTCATCCTGTATTTGTAATCAGATAGTGATTATGCTTACAGAACATATGTGTAATTGATGGTATCCATAAAATTCATACTGGAGTTAAAGCTGTTAGTTCCATTTTGGCATGGTATGGTGAATATAGAAACATGTTTTCTGCTGAGACCCTAAATTGTTGATGTATCTCTTGCAGGAGGATATGGACCGTAAGATTGGAGAACTCATCAATGACCTAGAGTCTGCAAACCGGAAGTGTGAATTATATCGGGCTAATTTGCTTTCAGTACTAAAAGAAATTGAGGATCATAAACTTCAATTGGCGATAAAAGTGCAGAATGTTAAAATCAGCATGAAAGATGGCACTTGATGGCGTGCTAGAGTAACCCCTTGTGGTGGTTCATCTTGGGCTATATCAACCATGAAACAGGCCTCAACTGCATCTTCTTTGGCTACTCAAGAAGAAACAAGGTGCTCTTTGTATATATAGGGTTCAGCAAATGACTAGAGAATAGGATTTTTTTCTAGGTAGCATTGTTTTTCTCTCTCTGACTTTCTTTTTTTTTTTTTTTTGTTTCTTTTCAAAGAATTGGAGGAACTACGTTTTTATAATAGAAGCGGCCAATTTCTTCCAAACTCAACAAGAAAGGCATTTGCTAGGTTTGATACTCATCTTACGGACTTCGATAATTAAATCAATACGTGCTTTACCAACAATGGGGGGGTACTGCTATAGATTTTGCGGGGAGACAATGTTTACATGTTAAGTCTCGTTTTAATTTCATTTTCACTTGGGTGCGTGCACCTTGCAGGGTGGTCCAACCTAGATTCTGCTCGCATTACGTCTGTTCTATCGTCTCCGGGCGTTAATACCGGGGGTTAACCGTTGTACAGGATATTTATCGCTTGAAATGCGACACGAACTTCAAAAGCCATGCTTGTTGCAGATGACACTTGAAAGGCTTTGCTGGACATAATGTGTGAAACTTTTACGGCATGTACTTTTTATGTCAACAGAGTATGGTTGAGGCATATAGTATTTCCTGGATGTGAGTTTAATTGTCATAACATTAGGTGTGACAATTTGACCTTTGTCGAGCACACGGGGAATGCATGGAATCGGAAATTTTTGTGAACCAACGACCTCACCTTGCTCTTAAAGCACATTTATTAATACTGATAAGTACCATTATGAAAAGCTAAGAAACATATAGCTACAAGAACAATTCTCCCAACACATTCACTCTTTGAGACTGAGCCTAGCATTTTGGACCTTCACTGAGAGCTTTAACTTCTGATCTTCCATATCTTTCAAAATAGCCAGAAGGTTCGTCCGATAAACCTCGCATCTTTGATTCGTACTTTCCAACGCAGCAGTTAACTCGCGAATTTTCTTTTTCTTCTCATCCTGAAGGCCAAAAAGCATTAACATTTACGGGTCCAATGACTTAAGATTATGTATAAAGCAGGAATTTGTGCATGAATAGTAATGAGGGCTATAACAATGACCAATATTTTCTGCATAAATTTATACTAGTTTCAGACATCTACAATATGCAATCTCAGATTTTCAGTTTAAACTTTTTTCTTCCAACTACTTCTCCGAACACATATATCAGAAACCAACAGGCCACATCTACAATGTTCCTGTTATCAGCTGTTGTTAAGAAGCAAGACATTGACGACGACAAAAAAAGAGCAACATGCTATATTCAGCATAGCATGATGAACCAGAAATCCTTTTCCTTCCAGTATATACCTTCTGCAGACAACTCAATGCATAACATTAACTACCTGGAAAAACAAAAGGGAAACTGATAAAATTCATCATACTTTTGTTTTTTTAAAACTTCATTTTCTTACCAACCCAAACTGGGGTTCGATCATAACCCTATGCAGATAACTCAATGCTTCATTAACTACTTCGAATAACAACAGGGAAACTGAGAAAAATCATCATATTTGTGTATTTCAAAAAACTTAATTTCTCACCACTCCAAACTGGGGTTCGACCAAAAAAAAAACTGGGGTTCGACCATAGTTCCCTATGACGTGCATAAGGAACTCACACCCTTCTTGGTGGGATAAGACTAGGTTGGTGTTATGGTTGTTACATATAATGAAAGCACAGAGTACTTCAGATATTATAGCAATAGTAAGCCTTTCCACTAAGAGGATTTTGTTACAGGAATTCTCCTATGCTGTTTTGTCAAGACCAGCATTTTAGTTCAAGAAAAATCCCAAAAAGATAAAGCACGGATGAACCACTAAAAACACTGGAGCATCCTGGTTTTGAAGAAAAAGTGGAAAAATACAGCTGAAAGTAGCTAAAGTTGAAGAGGGGGTTACATGAACAAGTGTACTGTCAAGCCAAATTTAAGAACATTCACATCGTGGCAGGCAAGCACAAAACTAGAATTAAAAACATGCCACATCAATAAATCAGACTAAACTTACCACGGATTGAAACGTCAACATGTGATTTTCTCCAGAGGCATGAAACTCTTTACTACCACCATTTGCCAGATTTCCATCCAGTGCAGCTCCAGGACCTTTATTTTTCAAAACAGCAACCTTCTTAGCAGCCTCTTGTAAAGCATCCATTGCCACATTATAAATGTAGATGGACTTTGCTCCGTCCTCCACATATTTAATTGCTTCCTGGCGTAAATTATTATACCGCACTGTTAGAGATTCTCGAGGATTAGTTGGTTCGGGAGCATTCTCATCGGTCATGGAACCAATCTTGGCATTTCTAGTCCATCTTTTCAGTATATATTGAGAGGGTAGTGTCAAAACATTTTCTGCTCTAAAAACTGCCAGGATATGTCTACAAATGATTCCAGTATATTCAAACATTTGGCAGCTGCAATTGGCTTTCATCTCGAAAGAATTGAAACTAACAGTGTGTGCTTTGCGCTCTTCCCCATATTTTGCCACCCGATAAGTGCTGACGGCTCCCGAATCCTCAATTTTGGTTGCAGGATTTGCAAGAGTCTCGACTAATTCCTCCTGAAATTTCATAAAGATTCTTCTCGTAAATAACCTGGCGGCTTGTTTCTCCATAGGAGACGGTGTCTTCAGAACAGGTGAAGTATTGGTTGTGTCATAATCGGCTTTTAGTTCCTTTTCATGCCAATTTGCTACAGCTTTTTCACACTGCTTAATTAGCATCTGTATGGTCGTCGATGCATTGACATAACCGTCAAAAAAAGTGTTCAAACCTTCACTTCTCTCGGCCAAGCCTAAATCTCCAAAAAAGGTATCTCTCATGAAAAGCGGGACCCATTGCTCCCTAGCACTATAAATTGACTGAAGCCATTCTTTATCTGTAATGTAATATCTTTGCAGCAGTGACTCCCAGGATGCTTCAAACTCATCAATTGTCTCAGCCTCGTTTATGCATCTTTTGAATTCAAATTCAAAAGTGGGATGTGATTGGTAAAGGTCTGCCAGCTTGTCTTGAGTGTCTCTAAATATGCCCCACTTACAAAAACGGTGGCGGGTACCAGGAAGGACTTGCGAAACAGCTACCTGGATAACTCCGTCGGGATCGGTTGTGATAGAGACAGGATGCCGTCCGGCCATCGAATGGAGCCAAGTTTGAAGCACCCAAATGAAAGAGGACTCCAAATCATTCACAATCAACGCGCAGCCGAACAAAACCGGCTGCCCGTGATGATTCAATCCTGTAAACGACGCAAAAGGCACCCTGTGCCGGTTCGTCCGGTACGTAGTGTCAAACGTCACGGCGTCGCCAAAGTGCGTATAGTTCATCCTGGCCGTCGCATCGGCCCAGAATATGTTCCCGCCGGAGTAGTCATCATCGCCCTCGACCGCATAAAAGAATGCTGGGTTCTCCGCTTGCATCCGCTTAAGATAATCCAAGACATGCTGGCCCCCAACTCCGAGGGCCCTCTCCCTGCCACTACTCATTGAACTCCACGGTTATCTGCCGATCAACGAGCGAAGTCGAAACACCCCCAAAAAAGATAACATCTTTTCGTGACTACAGCAACCAAAACAATGAACAGCAAGAGAAATTCCAACCTTTCAGCCAAACTCCAAGCCTAGCAGCAGAAAAACTAAACCCTCGACCCGCCAAGCTCACTTCCACATCGTTTCCACAGCGATTTCAGCCAAAAAAAAAAGCAAAGCTTTAACAGGTAGCAGCGGCAGGAGCAGCTCCAGAGCAAGTCGCGAGCCTAATCAACCGAACGCACGGACGAGACCCAGCAACGAGATTGAGCGACGTTCGAATTGCAAACCAACCTGGAAGACGATCGAAACTCTACAATGCGCTCTGCTTCACCTAGGGTTCGCAACGCGCCTCCGATTCCGTCCCCCGATGCCCCGGGAAACAGGAGACCTTCAACCGGAAGCTCGCATGGCGGACGAAGTGATCGAAGCGACGGAGTTCGTTGGGTGTCGGATTGATGGCGGACTCCGAGTCAGCTGAGTCGCGCGAGTTCATTGACTCGCTCGGGCTCGCAAAGTATATTTCGCGACCCTTTTAAAAAAAAAAATTTGTTAATAAGTGCCCAAATTAATAAGTAGTTGCGGATATCCAAAGGTTCCACTTCGCCTTAAATTAAAGAGCATCGGGGAGAGAAGTGAAAAGAAAAACAAGGAAAATTCTAAATAAGGACACGAAGTACTCTCACTTTCTCAAATAAGAACCTGAAATAAATTATGTGTCAAATAAGGACACGAAGTACCCTCACTTTTTCAAATAAAAGCATGAAGTAAACTTTATTTCAAATAAGGGTATGAAGTAGCCATCCAAATTTCAAAAAATGGCCTGACCTCATTAGAGTTAAGGGCATTTTCGTCTTTTAATTTTTCTCTTTTTTTCATTTTCTATTTTTTTCCATAAAAAACAAACTCAAAAATTAAAAAGAAAAGCTAAAGTTGAAAAACAGAAAAGAAAAAAAAAACAAGGGGGAAGGCTGGTAGCCCTCCCGCCTAGGGCTGCCGCCCCATCACTGGTGGAGCAGCGGTGATGGCCGGCGGGGTAGCCGACATCTCAGTGAGGACCGGTGAGGAGAGGGCGCTGGACCTCACCCTAGTCTGGGTGAGGGTCGCTGGCCCTCTCCTAGACCTGGGCGAGGGCCGGCGACCCTCACCCAGATTTGGGAGAGGGTCGCCACCCTCTCCCGGCTCTGGTAGGGCCAATAGGCCCTCACTTGTGGTAGGTGACCTCGTCGGCCATGATTGTCGCTCCACCAGCGATGGGACAATGGCCATAGGCGGTGAGGGCTGGCAGCCAGCCCTCCCCTTGGATTTTTTTTTTAAAAAAACACTTTTTAAATTTTTAATCTAATTTAATTAAAATTTATATTAAAATTATTTTTGGACGAAAATGTCCTTGGTCAGCTAGAAAATTTGGCCAGCCGACGAGTCGGCAAGATGAAGCCTTTTATTTGAAACTGTTGTAATCATTTCAGGCCCTTATTTGAGAAAATAATGGTACATTAGGTCTTTATTTGATACAAAGTCCACTTCACGCCCTTATTTGAGAAAATGAGAGCACTTCGGATCCTTATTTGGAATTTTTCCAAGAAAAAATTACCTAAGTTTGTGGGTTGGACCCCCCTTCCTTTCGGTCGGGTCAGACTCAATTTTGATAGGGCTTCTAAAGGCGATTCGGGTCCAGTTTCAGCAAGTGGACTTATTCGTGATGACTTGGGCAATTAGCCTGCTGGATTTGCAAAAACAATGGGAGTGTATTCTTCACTCAAAGCAGAACAGATAATTTCTTTGGGTATTACCAAAACTGATTAAGGAGGTAAACTTGCAAGCATCCATTTCTCTGCTTTTGAAATAAACTTCATCGCTTTATTTTGGTTACACACTCATTTCTCAAATTGGATGTATGCTAAAAGAATTTTCGATAGGTCAAGATTCTCCGTAATTTTAAAGAGGGAAATGCACGTGTGGATTGGCTAGTAAATTGGATTTATCCAACCCGACAATGCGGTTAAAAACCATTTATTAGATAGGCCATCGATAGGTTTGTTTCCTTTGTTGTTAGGGGCTTATGTTGCATCATGTCTTATTAGAAGAGTAACGATATAATTTTCGAGCTCTACCCTTTTCTTATATATAAAAGATTACAATCAACTTGAGTAGATAATTGACTAATGTAAATTCTTACTTTTTCCGCAAATAAACTAGTATCGATACTCATGTGATGTGAGTGCCATAATAATTTGACGACTTGCTATATTAGTATGCGGAAATATCAAATATATATGATAGAATTATCAAGAATAAATACAAAAAAATTTGCGAAAAAGATTGTAAGGCATGAAATAGAGAGAGGGAGCAGATTAAATATGGTAATTAACTTTGCTATTGGACAAGTTACTAATGAAGATTAAATAGCCACTCGATATCTCGTCTTTGTTAATTTATCTTACTTCTACGTGCAATATATTGACAATCAATTTATAATTTTATGTACACTAGCAAAATGTTTGGTTGCGTGATTGCAAAAGAAAATGGCTTTTGAAATATTAAACAAAATAATTTTTATAACTAAGTATTTGAATTAATAAATAATGATAGGAGATTATCATTAAAAATACACAATTTACCAGAGAAAGGCACTAGATCCTTTTAGAAAAGTTGTTGTCAGATAGAAGAAATTCAAATTTTAATGCGTGAGAGATTATACGAGTGCATTTGGTTCAACATTTTGAAAACCCTTGAGAAAATTTGAGATGTTAGGCAACCATTCCTAAGGGCTTTAGGTCAAATGCTAGTATTGGGAAAGTTGAAAGCTCAAGCGATTTGCCTTAAACTTTTAGCATTTTCGAAATGCTAAAACAAGGGTTAAATGATTTTGTTTCTTTATAAAACTACCCTCACCTATTCTTCGATTTTTCGGTTTTACCCCTTGTTACTACCATTCGTCTTCTTTGCGTGAGGGCGCCGATGAGGGCTGACAAGGCCATATCTAACCGGAGAAGGGTCAACGAAAGGCCAGTGAGGGGTCGGTGAGGTCACGTGACCCACGTGGTCGTTGCCAGGGGTCGTACAATCTCTGCAAGGGTTGCTCGAGGACGTGCATCCTTAGGCTTGATTGCCTGGGGTCGCTTAAGGTCATGCAACCTCGGCCGACGGTCGCCGGCACTTGATTTGGCCCACCGATGGCCGGTGGCAGCTTGAGTCTTTCGTCGGAGTCGGAGAAGGGTTTGATTTCTTTTTAATAAAAAATATTGCAGCCAAAGTCTTTTGCCAAAAAAAAAAATTCACCAAACACTACTAAACCAAAAATTGCTTTACAAATGATTTTTTACCAAACACAATTTGCATTTCCCAAAAGCTTTTTAGGGTAAAGGTCATTACATTTCCCTAATACCCATTTCCAAAGCCAAACCAAATGCAATCATAGACAAATTATTATATTGGTATGCAGAAAAATTGAACATATACGATAATAATATAATGAACAAATTCGAAATATTTTTCGAAATCGAGAGGGAGCAATTGTTCAGAAAATGTATCAAGGAATTGTTAAAACAGGCACTTGTGCTCTCACTATAGAAGTATTGATATTTGATAATTACCTTTGCTATTGCACAAGTTACTATTGAAGATTAATCAGCTACTGGTTAATGGTATAATCATAGTCAAGTACCTATTTTTCACCAATTTGCAATTTACTTCGACCAAAAATTTTTTTTAAAAAAAATTCATGGACATAAATTGTGGGGAACCAAAACTGACAAATATATTTGGGCCTTGAGGCCCATATTAGCGGCCCAATTATCGGCCCACAACGAGGAAGAAGCTCGTCTTCTTGATATGGAGCTACACAAGCGAAGCAGATGGCACTCACAGAGCTTGAAGACGAGCAAAGTTCTCAACTTCAACGCAGATACAGGAATGGTGCACCGGTTGTGGCAGTAACTGGGCACAGATTCATGCACTGAACTAACTTTCCGGTCTCTCTCTCTCTCTCTCGCCTTTCATCATCTTCTTCCTCTTCTTCTTCTTTTTTTCCCACTGTGATGCGTCCTTTAGCAGCAGGTGTCTTGATATATTCTTGTTTATGTTCTTGATTTGTGTGTTGGAATCCGACCAGCCTTAGGACTCTTCGGCCACATCAAGGTGCACTTTCTATTTGGGCTGTCTTTCTTACGGTCGATTGGGAGCTTTGGGTTTCTCTTTCTTTTGTGACCCTCAAGATGTTTGATTTATTTCCCAAGTGGAGGGCTTCTCTTCTGGGTTGTTTCTTTACGTGATTATTGTAAGGGTGTTTATCATTTTTTTTAGTGCTGTTCTAATTATGGGTTGCTGGAGACAATAAAAGACTATTGATCAAATGTGGAACGGTCTACGGTCATGCCACACTAGGCGTGCTATTAGAATTTGTGCTCCTACGGTTGGCTTCAACATTTGATTGCTTGTCGTTTGCACTTAGTTCCGCTCCTCTAAACCACGCAATGGCTTTAGCTATAAGTGATTTTGTTGACCTGAAAATGAATAAGCAGAGTATCAGCATGTTTGAACTGGTCTTGTTGCCATTGTGAAGGGGGGGGATCACAATCAGCTTTAATTTGTATGCATCTCCCCCTGCTCTATTGAGGAACTCATGTTGATGACCTTTGTTTGATGCATTTTTTTTTTTTGTGAAAAATTAACTTTGTCTACAGGTGTTCATCTGTGCATTATGTTGTACCTCGCTTGTGGCATGATGCATACCTTTATGAAGTTAAATGGTAGTCTATATGCAATATATCCAAAATGACTAGCTAGATGTCAAGGTTAATGATTTGCTTGATTAATTGTTTCATGATATTGAAGACTATGCTGCTATGCACAGCTCTAGAATTTTTTTTGCTGAATCCGGTTGCCAGAAGCTGTAAATCTGCCTAAAAGCACTCTTTTGTCACAGTAAGCGTTAACATGGCAGCACCGTGGCGTCAACTTCGCAATATCGTCCGTGGTTCCTATTTATCTCATGAAAGGATAAAAAAGAGTAGCAGCGTAAAGGTGCACAGCATGACATTCCGGCATCTTAGCAGCTCCTTCAGTTTCAATGAAAGTGGGCTGGAAGATGCAAGAACAAACCAGAGCCAGAGCCAGAGCCAAAGCCAAAGCCAAAGCCAAAGCCAAAGCCCTGGCTACAACAATGACAACCGGTATCAAGCTCCTCCTCCGGACCCAATACCCAATAGACCTTTGAGAGGTCGTCAACAATCTCAACGCATAGAAGGGAACAATGGACCTGATATTGTAGGAGCAAGAGTAAGAAGAGATCGATCCGATGATAGTTTCTTGGAAAAATTTAAGCTGAGTTTTGACAAGAGGGATAAGCCTGAGGGAGATTCGGCAAGTGCAACTACCCAGCTATCTCAGGAAGAAAATAAAACAAATTCTAACCAAATGGCAAGCGAAGGGCAGCCGCCACTCCCAGAAGATGCTGATCAGATATTCAAGAAAATGAAGGAGACAGGTCTTATTCCAAATGCGGTGGCAATGCTTGATGGTCTTTGCAAAGATGGGTTGGTCCAGGAAGCGATGAAGCTTTTTGGTCAGATGCGTGAGAAGGGTTCTATTCCAGAAGTTGTTATATACACGGCCGTTGTTGAAGGGTTCTGCAAAGCCCAAAAGTTTGACGATGCGAAGAGGATTTTCAGGAAGATGCAAAATAACGGGATTACTGCAAATGCATTCAGCTTTACTGTGCTAATACAAGGTTTATACAAATGTGACAGACTGGAGGATGCTCTTGAGTTCTGCGAGGAGATGATTGATGCCGGTCATTCTCCAAATGTGACGACTTTCGTGGGGTTGGTGAATGGAGTGTGTAAGGAGAAGGGTGTTGAAGAAGCTCAGACCGTTATTGGCAGGCTCCGGGGGAAGGGGTATTTCATTAACGAGAAAGCTGTAAGAGAATTCTTGGAGAAGAAGGCTCCATTCTCATCCATGGTCTGGGAGGCGATCTTTGGGAAGAAACAGTCGCATAACTTATTCTGATTGATTTCCCTTGATAGGCCTGAGCTGGACTTGGTGGGCATGGGATTGCATCTGTTTATGAAAAGCGTTGCGATATAAGACTTCTGTTTTGTTTTCATGGCAGAACAAATCTACCTGGTCCCTGTAGTGGTAGCCGTTTTTGAAAAGTGGCATGATGTTGCGATAAATGATTCGCCTGTTTTGTTTCAATTTTTATCTTTCTAGTTCCATGTGGTACGTGCAGCTGCCAACCTGAAAGGACTAATCAATGAAATGGTGTTAGATGTGTGATCTCCCCTTAAAGAAACAAGAGAGGGCAAACTTGGAGGTGGCAAGCTTGGAGTTCCCAAAGGGTATATCATATTAATCATATGAATTTATGAATGGATTGACTGAAAAGACGTTTCGAATGAATTTGTCCGATTTTATCAGATTTGTCATTTTCAAAATACTATTTTTCTCGCATTTTGCACAATCAGCGAAAATGAATTTGCCATAGGAACCGTCATCGCATTTTCTTGTCAAAACCGTTGTAATGTCGAACAAAAAGAAAACCGACGAGCAATTGGCGGGAAGCAACGGGCTTCGCAATTGCCTGTCTTCCTCGTGAAAAATAAGGAGAGGCAGACGAACTATGTATGGTTGTCGTCTTCCTTCTGTGAATGTATTCGACACCCAAGAATCTATGGTCTCTCGTCGACCACCTTGCCGTCGCACTTAAAAGACATTCCTTCACTCGGAAACAGCTCGAGCAGTTTCACGCCCAAATCCTCGCCGGCGGTCTCCTCCGCTCTGCTCCTCTCCTGACCACGTTCCTCTCGTCATGCTATCGCTCGCAAGAACCTCACTACGCTTTGCTTTTCATGCGCAATCTGCCGATATGTATTCCATCTCTGTGGAACTCGACGGTTCGGTTGTCGCTGGACTCCGGTCTGTGGCCAGATTTCGTGGGGTTATACAATGGGATGCTCCGTAGTAGCGTCTTCCCCAGCAAGGTCACGCTTTCTTCGGTGCTGCGTTCCTGTGCAGCTCACGGTGCGGCCCAGTTGGGCGAATCGTTCCATTGCCAGATCTTAAAGATGGGTTTTGAACTTGATGTGATCTTGCAGACTGGGTTGCTCGACTTCTATGGAAAGGTTGGGGATTTGAGGTGCGCAAGAAAGATGTTTGCGGAAATGCTGCAGAAGGACGTGGTGGCTGATAACGCTATGGTTTCTGCGCTTAGCAAGCATGGATACGTGGAGGAGGCTCGTGATTTGTTCGATAATATGCCGCAGCGGAACTCGGCTTCTTGGAATTCTATGATAACTTGCTATTGCAAGTTGGGTGACATTGGCGCTGCTCGTTCGATGTTTGATGCAAACCCAGTCAAAGATGTGGTCTCTTGGAATGCGATGATTGATGGGTACATAAAAGCGGACCAGCTACTGGCTGCTCAGGAGTTATTTGTACGGATGGGAACCGCCAGGAATTCTGTTACTTGGAATACTATGATATCAGGTTATGTTCAGTGTAAGGAATTTGGGAAAGCAATAGCCACATTTCAAGAAATGCGGGTCGAGAATGTGAAACCAACCGAAGTCACCATGATTAGTTTGTTATCTGCCTGTGCTCACCTTGGAGCACTGGACATGGGTGAATGGATTCATGATTATATCAGGAGGAAGCGCTTAATGATCGATGCTGTTTTAGGTAATGCCCTTATAGATATGTACAGCAAGTGTGGGAGCATAGAGGCTGCTTTTGATGTATTCGACAGGCTTCCTGTGAAAAATATCTTCTGTTGGAACTCGATCATAGCAGGATTGGGCACAAACGGTTACGGTGAAAAGGCAATTGATCTCCTTGCTCTGATGCAGGAGGAGGGACTAAAGCCAGATGGGGTCACCTTTGTTGGACTCCTTTGTGGGTGTAGTCATTCTGGTTTGGTTTCTGCAGGCAGAAGCTATTTTTCTGAGATGTATGACATCTATGGAGTTACACCAAAAATTGAACACTATGGCTGCATGGTTGACCTATTGGGTCGAGCAGGGTTGCTCAAAGAAGCTGTTGAACTTGTGAAAACCATGCCAGTGAAGCCTAATGCGCAGGTGTGGGGAAGTTTGCTTAGGGCTTGTCAAATTCATAAGGACGCTGAACTCAGTAAGGATGTTGTTCAGAATCTGCTGGATTTGGATCCACGTGACGGAGGAAATTATGTGTATTTATCTAATTTGTATGCATCATTAAGTCGCTGGGATGAGGTTAACGTGTGCCGCAAGGTAATGATTGATAGAGGGGTTCACAAAGTACCAGGATGCAGTTCAATAGAGCTGGATGGTATAGTGCATGAGTTTGTGGCTGGAGACAGTAGACACCTGCAGATCACGCAAATCAACTTGTTTCTAGATGAGATTGCAAAGAAGTTAAAAGAGCATGGCCATGAGTCTAACAGAGCTCTCGTGCTCCATGATATTGAGGATGAAGAGAAGGAAACTGCAGTCAGCTATCACAGTGAAAGAATTGCCGTTGCTTTTGGGCTCATGAGCACACCACCTGGGAAGACTATCAGGGTGGTGAAGAACCTTCGCACGTGCAGTGATTGCCATTCTGCTCTTAAAATTATTTCAAATGTATACAAGAGAGAAATTATTGTGAGGGATAGGAAAAGGTTTCACCACTTCAAGGATGGATGCTGTTCATGTAGGGACTATTGGTAAATGAAAGCATACTATTGGAGGGCATCATTTGTTTTTGCCATCAATAGATAACAATTCCAAGTTTGTACCTGTGGGTATTACTCACTTCCTTAGGCTGATCCAATGACAATCACTTTGACATTATGAGGCTTCTTTATCCTAAGAGATCGTGTTATTAATACCATTATGGGGAAATATGCCTTTTCTTGCTCATCAGAACTGTGTTCTTCCATGCTTGCTATTCCCGAGTTGCCCAAATGTATCATTCTAGCATTTTGTGCATGATATGAAAGAGTAAGCGTCCTGCATTTCTTAAGCAAACTGCTTAAAGTTTCGTCTCATGTAGCTATTAAATATGGCAGGCATTCTACCTGCAATGAGAACTCTTATATGGGTACAAATATCAGCTTATGTTGATTGGCAATGTTAGCTTCTTTTTTAATGAAGTTGGGCTACACTTTGGCAAATTTGTCACTGATAAAAAATATCTCAACATTATTGATGTCATTAAAAGCCTTTATTGGAACGTTATACACGAATTATAATACCTAACCACTGTATCAGACGTAGTTACCAAGAAATTGAATGGTTTTCAGCTTTATTTGTCTGCAAGCACCCGTACACCATACAAACTCAATTGACCACCCATTTGATTCTATCCAAACCTATCTATTCTGAGACAGAGATCCTTTCGCTGCTGCTGCTGCTTCTAGACCTTAATAACCTCAATACTTTTGTTTCTCTGTCTTTTGGATGAAAGAGTGATACTGTGGCATGTGCAATGGAGATCCTCCTCATGGTAATGTTTGGATACACTCACTTTTCTGCACATTGATCGCCAATTGACTAGTGAGAGAGAGCCTAATTAGCAGAGCTACCACAAATTCTGTCAAAGAAGTTTAGGAGGCATTCATTTCCCAAAAGCAGGTGTTTGCATTTACTGCAGTAATAAGCTAGTCTAGTTCGCTGGAGTTGATATAAATTTAGTTGTGAACTCAAAAATGGCAATAGACTCACCTTCAAAATATATCCATTTCCATAGAAGAGGTGAGCACTCCATCATCTTCCCAATGCACATCCTTGGCTTTTGGATCCTTTCGAATTAGCTGAAGAGGCACTTCTAGTGGAGGTGGGGACTGCAGGGAAAAAACCATAATTCAGCAGCCACAAAAGGTATCGTACGTAGGTTCATGATGTATCTTAGCCTCTATAATTTTCTTATACTGATTTCTGAGAGACTAGATCCTGGAGATAGGACAAAGGGTGAGTTTTCACTGCCGAAAGAAAAGTACCATGCAGCGAATGAGAGGCCAGTTGATCCCCCGGAAGAAAGGATGTTGCTTGATTTCATTGGCACCATTATTTGATCCTAGACGGGATGCAGGGTCTCTCTGTAACATCGCATAAATGAGTTGCCTGCCTGCGAGACTTACCTGGAGTGAGAAACAAGGATTTAGTTCATCAGATTCTCCAGGAAGAATGCTAAAATAAATGCCTAGCATAACAAGTAATTCACATATTTAGGTGGAATATGGCTGTGAAAGTCCAAAGGAAGCATAGTCAAACTTCATTGAAAATCCTTCGGTCAAAAAAGATGAAAATCCATAATATGTTAAAATAGTAGAACGGATGACATTGAGAAAACTAAACCCATCAACAGAAGGAAGTATGTTCTCATGTAATGTCTGGTACAGGTATAGTTCATACTGGAATGCTACTTGGGAATGTTAGATCCTTGTGCAAGATGTTGGCAAATGTCTTCTGTCTGTTCTTTCCTCTAAAAGGTGTGCGCCCGTACAGCATCTCGTACAATAGGATGCCTAAATGTGTGGAACAAGTACATGAATCAGAAACTGATGCAAGTGCTGTCATGATTAATCAAGTGAAGATTACAAGATGAGGTCGAAACAAGAGCAGACGACTAGTGACAGCAAGTTAGGATCTACAAGACTCATGTACTTACCAAGGGCCCACCAATCAATAGCGCTGCTATGCCCTGCCCCGGTTATAATTTCCTGCAAAGACAAACCGAGTTCAAATTGTGAATGTCAGAGCAAGCATGCTTAGGTATAATTGAAGCCTTAATTTGAGGATTAAACAATGCATGGAAAACAATTAACATAACTTCCGTGTGTAAAGTTCTCCCTTATGCAGTTACTCAATAATCTGAACAAAGTACAAAACCAAAAAGGTGAGGATATCTATCGTACAGGTGCAATGTACTCTTCAGTTCCGACAAAGGAATTAGATTGTGATACTGGTTCGGCAACAAATATCGGTGGTGGCCGACTCCTTGATCTTCTTCTATTATTGGGAGGTGGATGATGTATTATCTGTAGAACATGGTAGAAAGTTAGCACATTTATGGTCCCTTGTTCGAGCATTTTCAAATTTAACCATTGAGCAAGCCTATTATGATCCCAAGTTCTTGACTCTTTATCAATTCCAAATTACGTTCATAAAAAGTTGACTATTTGATAGGAATACGAAACTTACTTGGGGTTCACAGGATGTCAAGAAGGATAAGTCGAAGTCAGTCAATACGACATGCCCATCCTTCTGGAGTAAAATGTTCTCAGGCTTCAAGTCCCGATATACTATTCCTGCTCCAGAAAGAACAATACATCAGATATAAAAGGATCGAATAAAAGGTTTTCTCACGAAAGCGCACTAAGAAAGAACATCATTGATGAGCTTGGTGCAACAAAAACTTGAAAGATATGCTAGAAGATTCAGTGACTCCACATTTGTAACTTTTATTGAATCCTTGAGTATGTTTGATGAAGTCTAAGCCAATGAAAAATGAATTTCCGTTTGCTTTTCCAAATGAACATGAGCTGTAATAAATTAATCAGCAATATCTCTCTGTGCAAGTTATTGGCAGTTGCAGAATACATCTTTAACGACGTCCCATCCCAACAGTGCAGAAATGTATATGGAGCAAAATAACGAGCTTAAACACATCATGAAAGTAGCTAGACTTTTTCCTCTTGGCTGTAGTATATCAACCAAGGACATGGCTTAGCATAATGCAATATTACAGGCACTTGGTTCCTGATATCTCTTCCCCTTCTAGCCGAATAATTAGCTTGTGATATTGACATACCTAAGCAATGAAGATATTCCAGACCAACAAGGACCTCTGCTGCATAGAACCTGGAAACAAAGAACAGTTTACACTAAGTAGCTGGAGGTTGCACCTGGCAAAGGTTAACTATCCCAAACATAGAGCTTGGAAAGATTTCATCCGTTCTCCACCAGAAGATTCCAACAATGAAGGTACTAATGAAGAACACCAACTAGGAGGCACTGGTTCATTAAAGAATATATCCGGCACTCAAGAAAGTACTGTCAAATTAGTAATTAAGATAATTCAATTTATTCACATAGGAGAAAGCCCAGATTTGCATCAATCCATGAATATAATTATTATTTGCTGGATGCTGAACCAAATTGAACATGAAACCATAACAATTTCTAGTATGAAGAGGAATCTCTCTTCTAAAGCTGGCAAAGTTGTTGGAGCCTAAGAACAGAAAATCGAGAGTACCTCGCAGAGTCCTCCGTAAATATTTTCATTGGCTGTTTGTCAAGCAAAGCAAACAATTCTCCACCAGGGCAAAAATCCGTGATTAAACAAACATGTGTTGAAGTCTGGAAATGAAACAGAATCATAAGACGATTATATTAAACTCTTGTGATGCATCAAAAGAGACATCATACATAAGTTTGTACTTCCTAGAAAATTTCCGTTCCTAAACCTTTCTAATAACTACATCTCATGATGAAATTCTTGATGGGAAAAGAGTTCTTACCTGCAATTGTAGAAGAAGACTCATTGAAACACAAACCATGACACAATTTATGCAGGAAATTTTGAATCATGAGAACCGAACATCCTGAATTGCAAAAAAGATTTTTCGTATATATTACGCCTAATACCATTGGTGCGTACACTAAATCCTCGGATCTATAATGATGTATGCATACTTTATATCCTGAGATAATGTATATGTTGTGGTGATAACATTATTTAAAACAAAAGATTAGAGAAAAAGTAACATCTCCTTTTGTTTTTTGCTTAACAGGTCGTTCATTTATTCTTGTGCATAGTTCTCTTGAAATTTATGGCAATGATTTTGTATCATTTCCATCCAGACAAGTCCAGTGATAACTCTCTTTTAGATGCAGCTATTGATCATACACATCCGGTGATGTTATAGTGGAGTAAAGGATGAAAAAAACATCCAACAATCGGCCAAGTTTAAGGAGTAAATGTAAGACCTGAAAGGAACTGTATAGCGTTGGAAGAAAAGGATGATCCAGTAATGAAATGATTTCTCTTTCAATACATGCTCGGTGGACCTGCAGACAACAAACAACCAAGTTACATCCTTGAAGCTTTACACTAAAGCTCTTGAATTACGGACGCATCAGTTAAAGTTAATGTCTGCAGGCTTTTGTTAGTCATGCACACATCCATTAACCTAAATTGCCATGGTTCCCTCTATGCTACTCGAGGAAATAGAACGATTGATGAATTCCAAATGATTCAATGCATGGTATTTTGGAAATTTACCTTTAAATTCAAACTAGCAATCAGAGTTGGATGATTACAATGACGATAATCATCAGCTAAAGACAGATAACTTGTTGAATGATTACTACATTTTTCTCTTAAGTTGTCATTCAAGTCATAATGAGCTGACAGTGAAGCTATGATCCACAGATATCAGGTGTTGTGGTAATGTAAATTATCATGTGCTACTTGAGGACAGCAATAAAACAATATTCTAAGAATTAACTCGCGATATTAAATATTTTAGTTCTTCATGCATGCAAACCTTGTTACGATTCAACATCATTGATTTTTCCATGGCCTTCATAGCAAACAGTTCACCTGTTTCTTGCAGTTCCACCAAATGAACGCTGCAGCAAAATCACAAGCTCAGCGAAGTTCTTTAATTGCAAAATGCTATCTGTAATTTCTTTTCTTTTTGCAAATATATTTACCTAATACATATACATGATCTCACTAATACAATGGACAGATGTCATAGCCTCATATGGATGTGTAACTAGATACATTCTAGATATGACAGACTGCAACCTATATTTTGCATAGGAACCCTGCATACCTCCCAGTGTCACCGCAACCCAAAGGCCTGATGGGCTTAAAATGCCGCAGGCCGATTGTTTCACCACGTGCTGTGATCTGTTCCAGATATCCAACAAAGATATATTGTCATTAGTACAGATGAGAAGAAATCAGCGAACATGTGAAAAAATTAGAATCCTACAAACTAAAAAACATTAGATATGTGTACTAAAAACACAAACACATAAATGAAATAATTATTAATATTGCAGACACGTGGCAAAAGTTATAACATAAACGTGACGTCAAGCAGAGACACAACCATCCTATAATTTGAAACAAAACCTTCTACCAGCATCATAATAGCATACAGCTGGCCAGGAAAATGCGAACTGACAACATGTACCTTTTGGATTGCTACCCATGAAGGACTATATCTTTTGTGAGGCCTTGGAAAGACGGGTTGAGAATGAATTGCCCACAAATCTTCTGGCCTCTAAATAATGGAACCATTTAAATTGCATCAGCTAAATTCCAAATAACTTGCACGAAAAGTAGCAGTTTCTCATCTCCCAATGACATATGAGAGATGACGGCTAAAGTCTAAAACTGGAAATGAAAATGTAAGTGTTAATACTTTAAGCTTCTGAAAATTGATACTATCATATATATGGTAATAGGTGAGCCCTGTATGCAGTAGAACCTGATGTGCTTTCTACAACAGAAGTGTTAAAGCTGTGAGGTACCCGCTTTGTATTTTTCTAGCACTAAGACACTTCTTGCCAGTCGTGCACATAGATGCACAGATAGGTAGTACATAAATATAAATGGAACAATAAGCATGGTCATATATGAGAAAAGAAACAATTCTCATCATAGATTTGATAGCAACATTGAATAGAACATGTCAGCGTAAGGCTTGATTTGATGCTAATTTTTTCCTGAAAGGTAACTGAGCTAACTACAAGACTTAAATGTATCTTTCAGAGAGATGGAAATCAGCAGATTCCAAGCAGATAAGCGAGTTGGCAAATAAATTAAAAAAAAAACATAGGTATTAAAGTAAAGCCTAGTCATGGAAAAAAGGAATACCTTACCAAATTGGCATCAGGAAGCTCACGGACAGCTTCATCAACATTTTCAGCAGTAGCTTTGACCTGGTAAAACAGATATAAATCACATTGACCATAGTGATATATTAGTGCCGATATGTCATCTATGCTGATGCCTGGAAATACTAGATAGGCTTAAACCAGATTTTTCTCGATTCTCTGTACAAGAATCATTGATCAGCGCGAGCTCTCACCAGTTTAGAACTTTGTTGCTCTGTCCTTTCTGAAAGACGGCTCCTAAGGGGTTCCACATGATCACTTCCATCTAGTTGGACACCAATGAAGTATTGAAGCTCACCCTAAAAGATCATAAGAAAATTTCAGGAAAAGTGAAAGAAATACTCTTGCTGAGAAAGCTGATTCATAAATTGTTTCAATGATTATCCAAAGCAAGGAAAAATAGCCACCTTCTGGTCACGCATAGGTTGCAAGTGAAACAGGTTCCAAAATTTCTTCCCTGCAATATGCGAACTCGTTATATTTTTGAGTGATGCTAAAGAAAGAATTAGAAAGTACAGTATTCAGCTGAGTTATAATCTCAAATGGCGGCAATATTCATGATGTGTAGGTTTAATCAAAGGGGATCAAGGTCGAGGTAATGCACCACCAGACTCATTGTAAAGCAGCTCCAACAGAACATCTTACTCACCACTCTTAGTATAGTTGATCAACTGAACGGTGATCTCTCTTTGTTCTCTTATAGCATCTCTAATCTTGGAGACAGTTGCCTGATCTGTTTCAGGACCTTGAAGAAACCTGTACACTTAGAAGTTAGATGTAGTGAAGCATTAACAGAGTTCAGGATAGAATATTTACTTATGAGGATAAGAATAGCGGCAGTCTGTCAGGAAATGTTTTAATATATCAGGGTTATCCGTACTATAACTTCATGGAATATATTATTAGAGTCAATGGTATACATTCATATTGTGTTGCCAAAGTCATATTTTCCTAATTTTAGGAGACTGAATAACAAATTTTTATTGCAAGACTCTACTGGTGCAGTTCCATGTTGACTAGCAACTCAAGAACTGAAGTGCCCAGGCAATGATATTAGCAACTAATCTTGTAAGGTAAGAACTCAAAAAAGGAGATCATCAACCTCTACACTATAATGGTTGAGTTCTTAGAAAGAAATAGGACATGAGAAGTGTTACTGGAAGTTACTCCTTCAAATCAACTCACTATATGGAAGAAGCACTCTCTCGGATCCTTAGGACATCTTCTCATTTCACTTTCGATCTTTATTATTTGCAGCAGTGTACTATGTTCAGAAAAGAAATTTTTCATTGGCATTTGCAATATTGTAACCAATCTGAATACTAAATGATCCTTCAGGTTAAAAGACATTTGGACCCTTGAATTAGAGCAAAGGACAAATACGATGGGTTAATTGTAGTACGGATATGGTCCACCCATTGTGAAAGATGGTTACAGACCCTAATACAAAGCACGAAAATTCTCACCTACAATTTCTTCCCAAAATTTCCTCACGGGTATATTCAGTCAATTCAAGGAAGCTGTCAGAAGCAAATATCTGCACATATAGGACCAAAATAAGTCTATAGATGTCATCAGCTTAAAGCACAAGTTGCATATTGATGGAGAATATTCACAAAATAGAAACTCGAAATCTATCTGTGTTACTTAATTTTCACATGAACGAATATCTTATCCAGCACAGGGATCTGTAAGACATCTCTAACCAGTAACCACCAAACTTATAATGATTGTTGAGGTATTGAATTCATTGTAGCTAGGTGTGTGTGTATTAGAGTTATTGCAATATTTTCAGTACCAAATCTCTCAGATACAGTTTTTGGTATGAGTGCAGGTAATACTTGTAAGTCCTAACTGCAACAGAGAGTACTGTAAGATATAAGAACAATCACTATGACAGATTGTCGGAGTATGTTGCTTTTCCATATTTTGAATTCATGAATTGTTGTATGCTCTCTATCTATAATTCACCTAAGACAATATATTTTAAATTCTAGAAAATCATCGAAATTTCCTAGAGGAAAATGGATGAAAGTTCAACATCTATATATGTAAAAGTAAATTGTTTTTTTCTCAATATTATAATTATAAATCACTATAAGGAACCAAAAGAACCTGAAGGACGACTACTAAACTTACAATTGGATTATCTGGAAGTCTGGGATCGGTAATCACAAAATTCTTTTCAATGCGCTCCAATGTGGTTGCAAGGTCAAATCCTTGGCGTATATCTCTCTCTCTATCGGTGTGGTCCCAACTGTCTCTGCTTTCCAAATCTTTTGTCACCAAAACTTCAGGTTCAATACTTTGTTGTAACTCTTGCTTCCCTCCAATGCTTGGAGACCTCCCTTTGAGCCTAAATTCAGTAGAACCTCTTAGCAAAATGTTAGCTATAAGGCTTGCACAATTGATTAAAGTAAGGTTTGTGAGAAAAAAAAAGGATTAGTAGAATAGGAGTGTCCCACTTTCTTGGAAGCATTGCTTTCCTTTCTTCAAATAACCGACAAAGTTCCAAGACATTTTTTCCTAAGGTTGATGGAGTAATAGTTTATATACATGGTTTCTAATGTTTTCTCAAATACCAACTGCTGGATACAACTAATTGACTATCGAAGGACAACAACGATTTTGAGAGTATCAAAGAGATCACATGTTTGAAGTGACCATTAGTTTATTGAATGGAAAAGAGAGAACCGCCCGTGCATGCATAGAGTGCTTAAATGTAAAAACTCACCCCACCAAGGAGATACGTCCTGATTTTCGAGATTTCTTTTCCACTTCTTGAACGGAACTGGTACGCTGCCAATTACTAGTGCGATCCACTAGAGGAGTTTTTCTACCAGGGGTGCTCAGTTTTTCTGTATCAGTGGACTTTGGCAGGAAGGAGTCGAGGTTAAATCTCTCCAGTACTTCGTTCTTTACATCGTTACTAATAGACCGAATATGAGATCGTGGATGCTTCACTGTTTGGACAACCTCTGTCATGGAATCTAAAGCCTCTTCCTTCTGACGAGCTGTCACATGAATGATTTGAATATTAAAAGTGAAATCAATGTCCGAACAGGATGCAGCGTCAAGTTGCACTCAACACTTACCATCATAGCGGATTAAGGACTGAGGCAATCCGTTTGGCCGCACTGCTTTGTCGACAACACCCTCTGTGTGCTTGCTGACCTCAACTTGCATTCTGCAAGGAACTGAACATTAGTGAAGACAATGCAACATGGAAAGATTCTGATTTGTCTGCAGAAACAGATACATGCTACAAAACTAGTTAAAGAAACATCGCAATCTCATTCTTTTCCACACTCTCGTAAACAGTCTTTTATTTAATTACCAAACCAAGTACACGCAAGCTCTTATATTGACTCGATGCATTCATCAATTTGGCGCTCTAGATCCATGATTTCCATACATGGAACCATTCCAAATATTTCCTTCTCAATCACTTATTACTTTCACATAACATGATTTGCTTATAAATCATGCAAGAAGGTCATGTTGCATCAGCGAGTCAAGTCGCATTGTTGCAGAGTTGAAAGGCGAAAACGTCTCCAACACATACGGACAATCTTTCTCTGAGGATCACACTAAGGTCCTATAGGCTATAGCGACATGAGAACAATGAGGTAGGATTGTCAAGATGAAACTACAAGAACATGTAGTAGGATAAATACAACACCATGATAAAATTGCATATCTCTGTCGTCATCTTAGATTGGATATTCACATGCCTCGTGCACAAGGAAGACTGGCACGACAAAAAATGTGTGTTACAGACAAGAGGAGGCAAAAGGAAAGAATACAGACCCGATGAACTTGATGGTGTTTCCTTTGTCATCTTTGATAGGGGTGAGGGTGAGGAGATTCCAAAAGGGAGTTCCATTCTTCTTGTAGTTCAGAAGCCTACCGCAGTAGCTTTTCCCGGCTTTCACGGCGCTCCTTATCTTGGCCACTTCGTTCTGGTCCGTCTCCGGTCCTTGAAGAAATCGGCTGAAAAGAAAAAACGCACAGATCCTTCCATGTTTAGTGGGTCGCGAAACTTTCACGAATAGTCCACTCATGCTTAAAAGCAGCAATCAGCATGCAGATGTGGTCTACACAAGAAGGCGAAACACCTGAGATCACTCTCTTCGCCTTCTGCTTCCATTTCAGATGCTCTTTGATTTGGTTTTAGAATGTGGTGACTCATGCCGTACTCGTGTTCGGCAATCACAGCATTGTTCGAAGCATGTTTAATCGGATTTTTCCTCGAAACGAGTCAGAACTTAGGTGTCGTGTCGGTTTGAGTTTCACCATTATTTAGAATTATGTTAGATTCATTCGATTCTTCCGCAAATTTCGCAAATGATCACATCATATCGACTGTCGTCGTATTGCGACGAAACTGTGTCGGCAGCTGCATCAGCCTAATTAACTAACTTAACGGACTTGACTATAAAAAGAAGGGGACTCGGTCACCTCGGTTCTCGACTCACCAGTTCCTCCCGATGACCTCCTTGGAGGAGTAGCCGGTCATGGTGAAGAAGCCGCTGCTCGCGTACAGGATCGGACACTCCGGCTTCGTCGCGTCCGACACCACGAACGTCTGCTGCAGCGACGCCAGCGCGTTCTTCAGCTCCTGCGACACCCTCGGCAGCGCCTCCGACCTGTGGCTCGAGTCCTCCGACGTCCTCGTGGAATCCAACGCCAACCTCTCCGACGAGTTCTTGCTCCGCTCGCCGCCTCCGCCGCCGCCGCCGCCGCCGTCGCCCGACGTCCTGATCGTGAAGCCCGGCGCCTTGAGGCTCCCATCCCCGCCCGCCGGCGTCACGTACAGGCCCCACTCCGCCGTCCTCTCCGCGATGGACGCCTCGGTCAGGATTGGGCCTCCCCCGGTCTGAGAGGCCGACCCGCCATTGGAGGCCGTCGCGGCATTCGGAGGGCTAAGGTCTGAGCTCGGCTGGGGAGGATTGGGGGGCTGATGCTTTTCGAAGGCCATCCACTTGTCGGCTTGCTTCCTGTTGACGAAGACCCTCGGGGACTCTTCGATTTCGTCGATGGCGAGGCGAGGTGGCGATTCGATTGGCTCCGAAGCAGGTTTCTCCATCTTCTGACTCTTTCTTTGCCGGGAAATCCTGGAAGCAAGATGAGATGAGTTTGAGGAAAGAAGCACAAATTCAGCTGCTGCTGATTGCTAATCATGATTCTGGAACTTGGGTTTTCTTCTTCTTCGAAATTGAGCTTGTTTTCCATGAAAAGTTGGAATTTTTAGCTATTTGGCTCCTCTTCCTAGTCATCCATAGCTGTTTCTGGGGCTCTTAGGTGACTAGCGCAACGAATGAAAAGCCCCTTAAGAGTTAATCAAGATTTGAGAAGAGAATGGGGAAGTTTCAAAGCAAAAGCAGACTAGGACATTACACTGAATAGCCAGCAAAACCTACAGAAGCCTAGTTCAGCCACCGAAAACCAACCTGAATAAGAACTGAGTTTCAGTTAAAATCTGCGTACAATCTATAAATGGAGACTGAGCCAGTGGTACTCACTGTTCGAGGCTCAATTTGGAGGAGCCATCAATTTGGCAGCAGGAGCTTCTTCAAAGTTCACAGTCAAGTCTTGCTGGTTGTTGATGACAATCTCTGCAAAGTCCCGGCTCTCTGTCTCCAGTCTCTGGCCTACAATGTTTCCGGTCAGAAATCATCTCTCAAAAGGACGCCCAAAACATGCAAGTTCTCTAGATTTCTTCATTAGGGATTGTGCTGTAAAGAGAGTGGAACAGACGGGAAGAGATAACGTCCAGATTTCAGGATTAATACGAGCCCCCCAACTGTACGTTCATGCCCAACAAGAAGAAAGAAGAAAATAAATAATATGCTGTACTCATTCTATGTCCCTTTGACTCGGATGTTTTTCTGTGTACGGATGTGCCGAAGCCGTTGATTCTTTATAATCCGTCCAATCTGCGTGGATTTAGCATTTTTCTTCCTGTTTTCCTGGATGCCACGTTTTCGGGGAAAAGAAATATTAGAAATCTTGAAGCGTGTTCTGAAGCCAACACAGAAGGAGATTATGAGGCTAGAAAAGACTGATATGGGATGGGATGGTTTGAGGATAGATGTCGCTATCACTTACAAATTGTTTTGGTCCTTTTGTGGAAGAGACCGTGTGCGAGTGTGTGTGTGTGTCTCTCTCTGTTATGAGTAGAGAAGCGTAAATACTCTGGGGACCGCAACATGGTCGCACGGTCCTGTTAGCTTCCACGTCCTTCGCTTGCGCGTATTTCGTGGTCGAAGGAGGGAACAGGGAAATTTAAAACGACATGACCTCAGAAACTTGGCTGGAGAAAGTCAATATTAGGTTACGCACCCCCACATCGCTGCTTGTATGTGGTGTGGGATGATACAGAGGTGCATAGTTTTAGGAATTGAATGAGACAATGATCGAAGCGTGCATTGAATTCTAGTCCTCGGCCTAGATATAGTTAGACTTCTTTTTCTTGCTTGATGATTTCCTTTCACCTAATAAGTTCAGCTATCTGATATATCCCAAGTTTTAAACACGAGTCTCGTGTTCCCCTCAAGACCGTTTGCCCAGTGGATGGACTGGATATGTATTCTCGAGTCTATAGCGATTGATTTCGAGATAAATGGCTCCATCACCGAGACATAGCTATAGGAAATCTTTTCTTCCACGCGTATGCATTATACCTAGCAATTATAGGAAATCTTTTCTTCCCCATAAATTTTTTTTTTGGTCGACATTTATCCCCATATTTCACGAGCTATACATTTTTGTCTTTTTTTCTTGCTAGGACAAGAAAGCGAAACGGTCGTCGGAAGGAACAATAATTGCAGCCAGTGTGTGGTTAAAGTAAGGTAGGTCGAAATCCTCCGTCGGAGTCCATTGATGAACGACAATGATCTTTAGATCCCAAGACTAATTCCAGAGCATCACACAACCGATACGTCTGGGTCGACAGATACTTGACCCATTGTGTTGTGTCCCTCAGGAAAGATTTTCATCTTCATGTAAAAGTACAGTCAGACATCACCAAGCATAAGAGAGCAAGAGAAAGCACGTGGCATCGGTTGCAGCCGCATGGGCTATTTGGTTGTCCTTGGGGATGGGAATCCAAAGCTTGAGCCCGACCACTCAAGAATTTGGAGGGCCCTTCTTAAATTATCTGCATATCTTCCCATTGAAGTGGAGGGCTCATCGCTTGTGGCAGTCATTTTTACCTATGGGCTCTCCATAGGGAAAAGAGGGAGGGCGGCGAAATAATTTCTCATGTAGAACAAGTATGGCCAAAGTGTTTTTAAAGCAAAGGTGATGGGAGCACGGTGTGGTTTGATTTGGTTTGGTCCGAGTACCGAACTGCGACAACATAGTTTGAAGATATAATTTGGAAGTAGACTAGACTGAATCGCTTTTGCGGTTCGGGGCTTTCTTAATCGGACCCGACAGTTCTCTCCCTTTTGCCCCCCTTGTTTCTTCTTGCTATTTTTGGGGAAAAATGCCAAAAAAGTCCTAAACCTTTTGCATTAGCGCCAATTCAGTCCTAAACCATTTGCATTGGTGTCAATTCAGTCCTAAACCATTTGCATTGGTGCCAATTTAGTCATAAACCTTTTTTGTGCCAATTCAGTCCTAAACCTTTTAAATTGGTGCCAATTCAGTCATAAACCTTTTATTTTTGTGCCAATTTAGTCTTTCTGGTCAATTTTGACCGGAATTTGCCGACGTGGACGCCTGCTGGCCGGCGGCTGGTCACCGGCATCGACGTGGCACCGACGTTGACAACTTTAATAATATTTTAATATTTTTTTGAATTTTTATTTTTTTTCCTTTTTTTTCTTTTTTTTTCCACTTTTTTTTTTTTGGTCTTCCCTCCTTCCTCGGGCTGGTCGCCGGTCCGGCGACCGGCTAGAAGCTAGAGGCCGGCGAGCTCGACCTCGCCGGCCACTGGCGAGGGAGGCCTCGCCCGGTGAGGGCGAGCCTCGCCTTGGTCGGGCGAGCCCCGACCTCGCCCGACCAACTACTATATAGTTTTAAAAAAAAAAGAGAAGCGACACGATTCGGTTTTGCTGTTTGATTTTGGTTTAAGAAAAAGTTATGTTTGAGTTGTGAACTGCTTTCCTAGCAGAAAAGGAATCCTCTGGCTTCAAATTTAACTGCAAAAACATTGGTTTGTGATTAATGGTTTAAACCAATTTTTGCTCACTCTAAAGACAAGAAAGGGGCGTTCGAAATTCTTGGAGCACTCGAGTAATTCCATCCGGCTAGCGGCAAGGTATTCAAACTATCAAATTTGGACATGGCCATAGACTAAAAGACAGTAATGAGTGAAACAGATAGATCTCCTTTTCTTGCAGAAATGAGTGGTGTGATAAAATGTATCACAGCATAATCAACTGATGAAAGACAATGGAGGTACGGAGGAACATTGAACTAGCCAACTTTGGGGCAAAGACAATCTCAACTAGAGCTGAACTTGACTGGTTTGAGATGGCCTTGCTCCACAAGTGAAGCAAGACAGTCATCAAACATCTCTTCAACCGACTTGAACTCGAACCCTAAGCTCTTCAGCTTCGACGTATTGTACTCGTAGTATGGCCTATCCAGAGGCTCGAACCTGTTAAAAAGAACTGCTAAAACGTAGCAACCAAACCATTTACATATATAAACTGTTTTCTGCAATAAATCATGTCAGTAACTGTCATACATTATCATATTATCAGAGTTTTCGCAGCTAACAGGGCTAAATTACAAGAAAGGAAGGAAAAGGAGGACGACAGGCCGACAAGATTGATGATAAATGGTGATAATATTATGCATTCTTTGACCCTTTGATTTGTCGTGTCTCTTGTTTTGCTGAGGTTCGTGTACCTATGTTTGTTTGGGACCCGGATCAATGTCCCTACCAACGATATCCGTGAGAACTTTTCATGTGTTACTCGAGTCATCTATCGGCCCAACCAACCAAGAAGTACCAAAACTCAATAATACATTTACTTTTGGAATGCGCATATCGAAATTTTTAGCACATGGTACTCTATGATTGATTGGGTGGTCAGGCAATGAAATGATCCTTGAGCACTTTAAAATGTCTCTTCCAATGGAGGCAACTGCTGTGCTGACATTCAAGAATGTCTTGGCTGTGCCGACATTCAAGAATGTCTTGGCTATGTCCAATATCAAAAGTACAGCATTCAAACAACCAATTGATTGAACTTTCAGGGTTGGGTTGTTGGTTTACCAACCTTCTTGGCACAGGTAGAGATGGATAGCGCGACGATAAGAATGACACCAGTTCCATGTTATCCATGACGACTGCGCTACAAATGTAGCGCCCACAAGCGCTTCTTTCCTCGTAAACGAGAATATGGCAGCGCGCAACGTCGTCGATGTGGACGTATCCCATCCTCCCATGCCATTGGAATTTTTCTGTTTCCCCTGCTTTGCATCGGCAGAACAAACTCATGTTAATCATGACACAGATGAAATCACAACCGCAAGTCAACAGATTAGTTTAGAGATTAATCAATTAGACAGCGAAGGACACCACCTTTAAGTAATCCGAGGACATCGGATGCAGTAGAGCACAAAACGGGTGGTAAACTGGGTCCAATGAGAAATGCCGGAAGCACTGTGACAAGGTCGATCTTGTTCTCGTCACAGAATTCCCAAGCTGCCTTCTCAGCTAATGTTTTTGATAGAACGTACCATATCTTCCCAAATACACGAAGCGTGCAACATTTATATTAGCCAGATAAAATGTCATAATGCACATTGTCCCGCGATTTAATCAAGAGAGAAAGAGAGTTTTCGAGACCTCTGCGAGAGCTTAATGTCCCAAAAAACTATACTGGTTTTACAGTACAATACCTGGAGACTTTCGCAAAGTTCTATGGAGCTCCAAGTCGACTCGTCCAATGGTACGTTTGGGTCGAAATCATCTCTAGCCCTCACTGTTGAAGAAGACGAGGTGAGAACAACACGCCTTAGGTTTGGGTTTTTCTTGCACGAGCGTAGCACATTCAAAGTACCCTCAATGGCCGGTTCCAGGATCTCTGCCTGTAAAGCAAATTGAGCAGATGATATGAAATCGAGTCAACCAAACCGACTGCTTTCGACGCTTGATAGCAACTCATAGGACAGTTTCAGACTATGTCTAGCACTAAAATCTCATCAATTTGTTTTTCCATACTCTTCTACCCCGCAATTCAAAGGTTCGGCCTATTCCCGAGGTGACCGAAAATGACTCGGGCATGCTACGATCTGAAGCTAGAAAAGGTGACAGGCTCAAAGTGAGCTGTGATAGCAACTTGCCTTTGGATCTCTAGAAGGTCTCAGTACAGGGGAGGCGGTGTGGAACACGCCCTCGCATCCCATAATCGCACCGTCGAAGCTTCCCTCTTCCATTAAATCCGCCTTCACCAGCCGGAGTCTCTCTTTTGCTCCCTCCAGCGTCCACAAGTGCGCCACTTTCTTCTCATTCCCTGCCAATGAAGCATTAAATTTATAACGTCATATTAGTCAAATTCGATGCTTTTTCAATGGAAATTGAGCAAATGATATTGCACAACGGCCATTCAATGATGCAATGCGCTGGAAGTACACCGACCGGGGTCTCTGACTGTTCCAATGACATGATAACCAGATAAGAGAAGCCTCTTGATCAACCAAGAAGCAAGATAACCAGCAGCTCCTGTAACACAGACTTTCCCTTTATAATCAGAATCCATGTTCTTGTTTTTCACTCGCATACAATGTTTCCAAGTTCTGCTAAAGTTGTACTATAGCCTGTCAATCGACAAAGGTTATATACCAAGAACAGTGTCGCTTCACGGGTTCTTTAGTTGTCAAGTTCGGAGAAGGTAAGTCATCAAATGCTCGTGAACTATGCATATTTCTGAAATCACCCAAGAAAAAGAATGGAAATCTCTAAAACAGAAAGCAAGATTTAGAGTTTGTTTAGGAGAATCATTGTTTGTATTCAGTTTCCTGTGGATGTTTGCAAGCAAGACTGTCACCAGATGAAGCTGTTGTTCTTGATTTAGGTGAATCATTCGAAAGTGATGAACCGATTCTTGTCTCATATCTCAGTTAGCTACACCTAATACTGATTCAGCTCGAATTAACCTTGCATCATATCAGAGCTGGCTAAGGCTCCATGACATGCATCATCAATAGTCGTTGATCGTATGCGGAGCGTAGATGAACATGATCACCGCGCAAAACCAAACATGGTGACGGGAGATAAGAGTCGAGAACCCGAGCTAGTCGAGATTACGGAGTCATCTAGATGATCATTACCAGTTTTCAGGAATGATATACAAAAATATGGTAAAGTATGATCAGTTGCAACAAAGAGTAGTGTTCTGTCAATTGAATTTCACGTCTGAGTGTTTTTGGTTACTTGAAAGTTCTTATGGATCAAATCCATGGCCTAAATGTACAGACTTATTTACAAAATTTACCGAATTATATTTCGATTTTGAGCCCGTGAAACAAACCCAATCCGAAACTTGACCATGTGATTGAGTAGGTTTTCCAATTTGAATCAACAAGTCACATATAAAAACGGGATTTTAATTTTTTTAACACATAAAAGCAAACAATTTGAACAAACAAGAAAAGGGAAACAAGAGGAGTGTTGGGGTTTTCTGTCAATGAGTTTTTCATGAATTTTGTTGATATAATATTTTGTATTGAGTGTAATCTAGTCCTGAGAAGCGCTTAAGTGACTTATCGTTTGTAAACTCTGTATTCTTCATATTTATAGTGGATTTCTTTGTACCAAATTCTCCGTGTAAAATAAGTACTGACATTTGAACCGAATGATATCATCTGATGTCCTTTGATTTCTCTAGTGATTTCTCATTCTAGCGTTAAACTTGAATCGCAAGATTTGTTAGCTTCCGTTTTTTTTTTAAAACAAAATTTGTATATATTTAGCAACGTGAGAAACTCTTTAAATTGTGAAATATGCCTGAATTGACGTGAACACTCATTCACAATTCATCGCGTCACTTTATTCACAAATTTTTATGAAACGGTCTTAGTGGATGACAAAAGCATTCGTATTTTCGCAAAATACAGAAAATAGCTTTAGTATGTTGAATAGTTGGTGAGCCTAATTAATTGAGCATTTTAAGACGTTGAGACACGAACTACAAAAAAGATTGTTGCAATCTTGCATGCCAATAAGTTAAAACTTTTCTGGCATTAATTCAGGATTAATATCAAGTTCATTATCGGTATTGCATAGATAATATGTGCACTTACAAATAGTTATATAACCGAATTCATTCGCGTATCATTCATTCAATAATGAATATATATATATATATATACTCTTACACGATGCATCTAGTACAAATTCTTCATTTATTGAATAAAAGGTAAATTTCGAGCAGCTCGATGGTAATTTGAAGCTGCATTGGTTACCCCCGCTTTAGTGGGTGAGGAAGTAAGCATAAGATAAATTGTTTATAAAAAAAAACGTCGCTAACTTATTAAGTATGGTTTTAAGTAATGCGTTAAAACTGTGAGTGACATTCATATTCATGAACTAATAGCAATTCAACACATCATTCAGTGAATCAATTTTGTGAACCAATTTTAGTACGTCTAGCATTCCCCAACTAATCTATCATGACATGTCGTTCTAACTTTAATTCATAAGGCAAATTTGAAAAAACTTTTACACGTGTCATCAATTCAAGGCAAATTTGAGTAGCTTGATATTAATTTGAAGCTGCATACATTTGTGGGTTGGGGGAAGTAAAGTATAAGATGAATTGATTGTCAAAAAGAGCATTCTTAACTTGTTAAGACTGGTTTAAATGATGGTCATATTGTGATGACCCTTTAAACGAGTGAGTCATATTCACAAACCAATAGCAGCCCAACACATAATTCAGCGAATTAATGTCTTGTACCAATTTTAGTAAGTCTAGCATTTCCCCAACTAATCCATCATGACATGTCGTGTTGAATTTAATTCAATCTCGTGTTATCCATCCAATAGGGAATGTATGAAAAAACTTTTACACTTGTTATCAATTCTAGGCAAATTTGAGTAGCTTGATAGAAATTTGAAGCTACATTCGTTACACCCCTTCAGTGGGTGGGGGAAGTAAAGCATAAGATGAATTGCTTATCAAAAAGAGCATTATTAACTTGTTAAGACTGATTTAAGTGATGCGTCAGAGTGTGAATGACCCTGTAAACGAATGAGTCATATTGACAAACCAATAGCAACCAAACATGTCATTCAACAAATCAATTTCGTATACCAATTTTAGTAAGTCAAGCATTGCCCCAACTAATCAATCGTGACATGTCGTGCTGACTTGAGAAATAGCTATTTACCCAAATCCATCCATGTGATGTCATCCACGTCTCATCCATCCAATGGCGAATGCATGAAAAAACTTTTACATGTGTCATCAATTCGAGGCAAATTTGAGTAGCTTGATAGTAATTTGAAGCTACATTCGTAACACCCCTTCGGTGGGTGGGGGGAAGTATAGCATAAGATGAATTGCTTATCAAAAACAGCATTCTTAACTTGTTAAGAAAGGTTTAAGTGATGCGTCAGATTGTGAGTGACCATTTAAACGAGTGAGTCATATTCACTAACCAATAGAAGCCCAACTCATCATTCAGCAAATCGATTTCGTATACCAATTTAAATACGTCAAGCATTGCCTCCGACTAATCCATCATGACATGTCATGCTGACTTAAAAATAGATATTTAACCAAATTCAACCACGTGTCATTCGTCCAATAGTGAATGCATGAAAAAACTTTTACGCGTGTTATCAATTTAAGGCAAATTTGAGTAGCTTAATGGTGTGGGTGCGGGGAAGTAAAGAATAAGATGAATTGCTCATAAAAAAGCATTCTTAACTTGTTATGATTAGTTTAAATAACACGTCATATTGTGAGTGACCCTTTAAACGAGTGAGTCATATTCACGAACCAATAGCAGCCCAACTCATGATTCAACGAATCAATTTTTTTTATACCAATTTTAGTAAGTCTAGCATTTCTTTCGACTAATGCATCGTGACATGTCGTGCTGACTTGAAAATATCTATTTAACCAGATTCATCTATGTGTCATCCATTCAACAGTGAATGTATGAAAAAACCTTTACGTCGGTAATGTACCTAATAAAAATTCCCTTGGTTTATCGTTTCAAGGTAAATTTAAGTAGCTTGATAGTAATTCAAAGCTACGTTGGTTACATCCCTTTGGTGGGTGGGGGAAATAAAGAATAAGATAGATTATTTACCAAAAGAGCGTTCTCAACTTATTAAGACGGGCTTAAGTGATGCACTAAATTGAGAGTAACCCTTTAAATGAGGGAGTCATATTCACGAATCAATAACTGTCCAAAACATTATCCAATGAGCCAATTTTAGTAAAGCCTAGTATTTCCCCAACTAATCCATCGTGACGTGGAATGCCGACTTGAAAACGACGAGCACGGGGTTCGGTTGGGCCTCTGGACCCAACTAGCCCAGCCCATCACTCTTCGATGCGACCGGCCCAACCACGGGATCTCGAGGTTCAAAACGATAATCGAAACGGAAAATACATATAACGAGAACGATAATGATAATAATATTAATGATAATGATGAAAGTAAGCAATTCCTAAGATTTTAGGAGTGAGAAAATCTAAAGAATGCAAGATTTCTTCTTCCTTCGGCCTTGTCTTATGAACATAAAAGGGCCAATTTGATGCGTCTGGTTAACATCGTGCTGGTGTTCGTTCTTGCATCGCGCCTCGCTGCTTCGCCTCTGGAGTAAAAACCAAGAGAGAAAGCCCCAGAGAAAGAGAGAGAGAGAAAGCCCCACAGAGAGAGAGAGAGGGGGAGAGAGGGAGAGGGAGAGTCCGTGAAAAGCTTCAAAGATCATTACTTTGGGAGAGACATTTTGCTCGAAATCCGAAATCCGAAGTAAGTATGGAGCTTTCGCCGCCTCGCTGTTTTTTTCGCCTTCATGACCTCGCGTTTTTTCTTCATCTTCGCATCAAGCTCGCTGCTTTGCATATCCTCTCGCCTCTTCTTTCATCGTTTTTGTCGACTTTCGTCGTTGTTTTTCTGGGATTTTATGGAACTGGGTAGTTGAATCTCTGTAGCCTCCTGTTTGTTATTGTTGTTGTTGTTGTTGTTGTTGTTGTTGTTGTCGTCGTCTCCTGTGTTTTGTACATTGAACGTGGCCGTGTTTTCTTGTTTTCGCGTCGAATCTTGATCTGAGCAATTTGTCGGAGTTTCCGTTCCCCTGTTCTTTCGAGGGTGTTGCATCTGACTAGGGTTTACTGGGTAAAAAAACAGAACTTGACAAGTGATGGATACTGGAGGGAACTCTCTCCCGTCTGGGCCTGATGGGGTGAAGCGGAAGATATGTTACTTCTATGACCCTGAAGTCGGCAATTACTACTACGGCCAAGGGCATCCGATGAAGCCGCATAGAATCCGCATGACGCACGCCCTGTTGGCGCACTATGGCTTGCTTCAGCATATGCAGGTCCTCAAGCCCATCCCTGCGAGAGATAGGGATCTTTGCCGCTTCCATGCCGACGACTACGTCTCGTTCCTTAGGAGTATAACCCCGGAGACGCAGCAGGATCAGCTGAGGCAGCTCAAGAGGTTCAATGTCGGCGAGGATTGTCCTGTGTTCGATGGCCTTTACTCTTTCTGTCAAACTTATGCCGGAGGCTCGGTTGGTGGTGCCGTGAAGTTGAATCACGGTCTCTGCGATATTGCTATCAACTGGGCGGGTGGGCTGCATCATG